GACTCTCCTTTATATCCAATGATAACCTATAAAGTGATGGACTTTTGATGCCCTCAACGAATGGCTTTCCCTTCAATTCATGCATTTGTTGAACAAATTGTTGTTTCAATTCAATGGGAAATGTCTCAAAATGTGACCCTATTTTCCCGTCAATAGTCACGTCCCCATTGAGACCCTTTCGGGCGGAATTCATTTCTGCGCCGCCGTTCACACGACCCATGTTTTCCACAATAATATCCAACGTATGGGTCGTTGTGTTCGCAAATTGAGAGTCAGTTACGTTCAGTTCGTAGTCTTTATTAGTCTCGATGGTTACCACCTCTTTGTGGTCAATAAGTATTATCGCCCGATCCGATACACCACCTATTTATGCATCAAAAATAACATGATAAATATAAATGCTACTAAATTTTACAATGTGTAATATTATCGAGTAAATTACCGGTTAGTTTCAAGTGTTTAAATTTTTGCAAATTCGTGAGCCTATAGTTAATGAACCCAAAATGTTGACCATGATTGTCACCCAAATTCAATAACTCCATATGCGTTGGCTTTTCGGTGACGATTGGCTTGATTTTGCTCAACACGTCCTCCAGAGACAGATAGTCAACGACTTTAACCTTTCCGTAAGCCTTGGGTTTCAGATACTCCGGAGGTTTGGGTATCAGTAGTTGTGGTAAACCTCTTTCTTTCACAAACTTTTCTACCAATTCTTTAGTTTTCCAATACTTTGCCGTATAATTGCCTACAAAATTAAAAACAATACTATAAATTACACTACAATAACAATAGTAAACACCCATAAACTAGAAAATAATAACCACGTAAACCCCTCCCTGACTCTCTGTTAGTATACTACAAACCCCCAATTTAACCCCAACCGGGGGTTTCACACCTACCTGTTTCGGAAAGAGGGGCGTCGTAATCATAACTGGTCACCACTCGGTCGCCATTCATGAACCCAAAGTTAGTGCCGCCAAAAAACATGTAGAAATTGATGGATGAGTTGGCGTTGAATAAGACATCCGTCACCTCCTTCTCAAACCTGTTGACGTCCATCCGGTGGTGACCCTTCTCTGACCATTTGTCAAACCACCCTGGCCAAAATTCGGTCACGTGCAGCGGCTTATTGGGTTGAGCTTTGCGCAGTGCGTTCAGGTTTTTTAACGAGTCCGAATTAAAGTTGTCCGTCTCTAAGATACCTGTTTAATCAATTTTTACATTGTAATTAATATTATTGTATTATAAAATTGTTGTACGTCTACTGACTTGTATATTATACATACAGTAATGTTCACAAACTATTTAACAATAATCTAATGAGTGGTGGATTCAGTATAAGTAGTGATAATATTGATAACACATGAGAGATTTATGTTTATCATGAAAATATTTATGATAATTGTTAAACAAACGTTAGAATAACATGATCATTTTAAACAAACACAATGATAATTAATTTTAAAACCTAGGTGACATAAAAATCCCAACATACCTGGTAAGGCAGTCTTCATAGCGTTGGCCGCATTCATACCGGAATCGCAATTAATGAGCAACTCTTTGAAACCGTGGGACTCAATGGTAGTTCTCATGAACTGGAAGTACTCCTTGTCGTCGGCGTTATGAATGCCTCCGAACTCGTTCTCAAACTGCATCGCTATTACGGGACCGCCTTTAGTGAACTGATACTCGTCGATGAGTGACAACACTTTTGTGAAATACCGGCCCACGGCCTCCATATAGGGCTTATAGTTAGACCTGAGCCGTATGTGTGGGTCCCGCAGGAACCAGGCCGGGTAGCCGCCCATTTCCCACTCGGCGCATATGTACGGCCCGGGCCGGTACACCACAAACATGTCGGCCTCTTTGGCCGCCTGTAGGAAACCCTTCAGGTTTAGGAAACCGGTCTCGAAGTCCCAGTGGCCGGGAGTCTCTTCGTGTAGATTCCATGGGCTATATGTCTGCACCTGTGGGTCACAAATAATTGTTTATTTTAGTAATAATAATAATAATTTTAATTTAATTTGTGGTAATATTTGGTGTAAACATACTGTGTTAAGTCCGGCGGCTCTGAACTTCAATAGCCTGTCCTTCCAGTACTCGTGCGGTA